AGCGTACGCGGCCCTCAAGGAGGCGGAGCCAGAGGTGGGGCGGCCGAACGTCCACGCAATCGGGCCGGTGATACACCGCGGCAGCCACGGTGGCGCGAAGGGGAAGGAGTGCCTGCGGTGGCTGGACGAGCAGCCGCCGGGGTCGGTACTGTTTGTCTCCTTCGGGAGCAGGGGAACCCTCTCGACGGAGCAGATACAGGAGCTGGCGTGGGGGCTGGAGGCGAGCGGGCGGCAGTTTCTCTGGGTGGTGCGGTGCCCCAGCGACCGGGTGGCTAGCGGGGCCTTCTTCCACCTGCAGGGGCCGGACGACCCGCTGCGCTATCTGCCGGAGGGTTTCCTGGAGCGGACGCGGGGGGCGGGGCTATTGGTCCCGCTGTGGGCGCCGCAGGTGGAGGTGCTCGCCCACGCCGCAACCGGCGGCTTCCTCACCCACTGCGGCTGGAACTCGTTGCTGGAGAGCTTCGTCCACGGCGTGCCCATGATCGCGTGGCCGCTGTACGCGGAGCAGCGGACGAACGCCGTGATGATTGCGGACGGCCTGGGCGTGGCGCTGCGGCCCAAGACGGCAGCGGACGGCAGCGGGCTAGTGCGTAGGGAGGAGGTGGCGGAGGTGGCGAGGGAGCTGATGGAGAGGGAGGCGGGGAGAAAGGCGAGGGAGAAGGCGGGGGAGCTGAAGCAAGCGGCAGCGCAGGCGGTGGCAGGCAGAGACGGGTCTTCTTGCAAGGCGCTGGCGGAGGTGGCGCAGTATTGGAAGGACAACGCAGCCACGGGTGATGTGTAAGAGTGAAGTTGACGTTGATGTAGACGCTGTAGTTGGTCTGTGTTGAGACTGTGTTTATTATGCGCAAGTGCTGCGCGATGGATGCATGCGATATGGTTGTTTACGTACGACAACAACGCAGTATTTGATTTGATTAGTTTTTTGTTGATGACTATTCGACTCATTTAAATTGAATTAGGATGCTTATCAATTGGATTTAGGACGAGTTTAATAAAAGTCGAGAGTAAATGAGAGTAAATGAACTATTGGGTATTGTATTCTGATCAACACTAGTTTATATTTTGCTGATTGCGTAAAATGCTTAATCGATGTAATAAATTGACATAACAACTATATAGATGTTGAGTTGATAGTAAGGTGATGCTCCGATATCGACGTATTATTATTATGCTTTTAACTTTTTTAGGAACTTTATTATTATTATTTTGTTCTTCATATTTTCCTTGCCTTCTCAAACAATGATAAAGAAAGAAAATGACAATAGATGAAGAAAAACATGCTCACTAAAATGCCATCCTTCCATCGCAAATGAGACTTGTGGTTGCCAACAGCTCGTCCTTCCTTTCATCCATCTTTCAACACCCCAATCTTGCCTTTTGCATGGAAAGCCTATGTTTTCATGCACTAAATGGCACAAGTAAAGCCTCCATGATCTAATTTGATGGGATAATTGACGGGTATAAACTACTAACTAATGCAAAATTTGAAGAGGATTAATAATAATAAAAAAAATAACTATAAAGGATTAAAGATAAATAGCACTAATATCTATTATCTTAATTCTCAAATAATATTAAAGGTATGGATGAAATGCATAGTTCAAATCAAAAAATTAGGTAAAGAAAAGATGATATATGGCGGCTTTCTCGTGGCAAAACGAAAAAGGTTGGATAAATATTTGGATTTGATCGGACTCATAGTTTGGTTAGGTGGCTTGTTATGATTTTAAAAGGGACATTTTGAGAGGTTGGTTGAAGAGATCAACGTCGTTAAGTTGAATTTAATCGTATTAATAGAAATATGAGATCGATAGCTCATAGATTGAGAGTAGATGACATTATTGGATGATAGACAATGTTCTCTCTCTTGCACATCTTGTTTAGCTAAGCATGATATTTTTAATTTTAGTCTTTAATAAAATATTATTTTGGTATTTCTCTATTCTTCTTGATTATTTTGCATCTTTTTACTCCTTACTATATGTTCATATTATGTTACATGCAAATTTGAATATAGTTCGATTGAAACTAAAAAATTTATTTTTGATTCATATTTTTTTTGAAACTAGAGTCTAAAAACTAGCGATTCTAGTGAATCTTATTTCGATTTGAATCGTCGATTCAATGATTCAAAAAAAATTCATATCAATCGATCATTGGACTCAAAGAACGATTTACGCCTAGCCCAATGATCAGGCAAATAACTAGTTTGCCCCTCCCAATAATCATATAAATGATTATATTAAGTGATTTTTTTTATTACTTTATAATTAAAAATATAAAAAAAATTCAAAATTTTTTTTGCCCTTCTAACAATCACATAAGGATCTTTTGAAAGCATTTTAGGAAAAAAAATATTTAAAAATTAATAAATATCCCTCTCAAGCTTGAATAAATAATATATTTATTAAAAATTAATAAATATTTTTTAAAAAATTAAAAATTAATAAATATTTAAAAATATAAACCCCATATTCTTTCTCTATTAAGTACTCATTCAAGTTTGAATGCTCTTAAGCTCGCTCTCAAGCTCTCTCTTATACTCTTTTTACTATTTTCTTGATTCGGTGGCAAGTGAAAGCCACCACTTCACTACCAACAAGGAGCCTTTCAAAAATTTGATCATGGCAACTCAAAAAAGTACACTTGAAGAAGATTTGAAACCTCGATGGCTTCTACCATGTCATATGTAATTACAGTACCCAAGTTTTCAAGTTCAAAGAAGGAAGCTATGAAATATTTCGATAGCATATCGAGAAGAAATGTCTAATGCAAACCAGCATGAAGTCAAATATAATTTTTAGGTAACTTACTTCTCTTACTTTTTTTATTAAAGAAAATCATAAAGCATTTGCTAAATTAGTTATCATCGAATGTTTATCTCTTAGTTTGTTTATTATTATTATTTATTATTGTTAAGTCAAATTTATTTATTATTATCAAGGAGCTTTAAATACAATTAGTTTTTTGCACCATTATTCGAACCTTTGCAAATTCTAAACTTAGGGTTGATCTCTTTAGGGGATCGACCTCCTTGGAACTCTATAGAGATTCTTCCCTCCAAGTTGCTGCTCAAATGCTGCAGAAAAGATTCATCTATTGCTTATGAAAAGAGGAGAAATACATGGCTATTTATAGGGCTTCTAAACCCTAACTCCTGATATGACTCCTATTCAAGACTCCTACTTCTAATCAACTTCTGCTAGGACTCATACTCAAGACTCATATTCCTTTACAACTCCTAATTCTTCTCTAAGAAACAACTTCCTAATCCTAGTCGGTCTCTTCACCTCCTTAATAGGGATCGACTTATGTAGGTTTTACATAAATGTCCCTGTTAATTAGGACTCTCCTAGCTAGAGTCCTAACAACCGCTCTTACTTACACTTGATATAATTTTTAAAAAAATAATTTATAAAAATACTTTTAATCTTTAAATGATCACATTTCTATTTTTTTTTATACTTGGAGTGATCACTGACAAATGCATTTCTATATGAGATTTAATTATCATTGGATAGGCAGTGAATGGACCATACAAAAACGTATTATTGATTTTAGAGTTTTAGATAAATGACATACAACCGATCATATTTGTAAAAAGATAAAAATAATTTTAAAATAATATTATTTAATTTTAAAAAAAATTTATTGGTTTTGATAATGCATCGACAAATACCACTTCTATTCCAAAATTACAAACAGTTTGTTAACTTGTTTTTGGTGACATTCTTTTTTTTTTTTTTGTATAAGACATGCTTGCCATGTTTTGGTTATGTCATTATACATTTAGACTTATTAAATTAAATTGGTTGTACATCATTTTTTAAATTTAAAATAAAATTCTTATTTTTATATTATATTTTTTTTAAAAATATTAAAAATTATCAATTCAAAATGAAATCAGAATAGTTTGTTCTAGTTCCGATTCCAAAATCGACCCTTACTAATTTAGTTATGATTCTAGGTTCCGTCGAACTAGAACCCATAGTTTCGAAACCATGGTCAGGGCTAGTTATATGGTTCTCTCTTAACTTATCTATTATCCAAGCTACTTCTAATTTTTCATAAATATATTTACTTTTTTCTATCTTTATAAATTTATACATGTACCTCAATATGCTCATCTTAGTAATATGAATTTTATATATATAATTTTTTTAGTTATCCAACACCGGCATCAATAAGATAATAACGATCTTATAAAATTTCTTTTTTAATATAAAAAAACTCATTGGTAATAAAAAAAAATTATTTTAACTATATAGTTTTTTACTCTATAAATAAAATTCATTTATCTTTCTATCTTACTGAATAATTGACCCAAAATATCTAAAACTTTTATTCAATAGAACTTATTATCTATCAAACTAAACCATATAATAAATAAAGTGTACTCCCAATATTACTAAAATCACATTTTACGTATATATTCCAATTTAAAATATTTAGATGTCAATGTTTATCTTTATAACTGAAGTTTAGAATTAGTTTAATTTATATCTCATCTAAATGATAAGTTCATCCATCACCAATAAAGACTTGAAGGGGCACCTAACTTTGTTATCTCTTGTGCATTAATGAACTTGCCATAGTGGATTAGGTGACTATTAGTGCAATGAAATGTCCGCATCTTGTTACCTGTCCTAGTGGTCTCAGTTCACAGCATCTAACTCAATTCTGCTGTTATGTTCCCCCATTTAATGGAAGTTTTGCAGTTAGATGTTTGCATCATGCTGTTTCAGAAGAATCTGATTTGCTCAAAAAATGTTTGCTTCTGATACGTATCTCTGTATTCATATACCGAAAGGAGAAGCTAATGAATCTGAATCGAGTGTCGACAACTTTACAAGAAAATGTTGATGTCAAGCTATAAAATTTGAGATAGAAATGGTCAATGATAGGTCCAATGTCAGCTTCAGGATACAGCAAGAAAGCACCAAAGGGATGTATAAAATATGACCAGGTTTTGTTTCAGACACACATCTCTCCACCATATGGAACAGCACCACAGAACAGCCTCTCTCTCTCTCTCTTCTTCTTCTTCTTCTTCTTCCTTGGCTGAAACCATGGAGAAGCGCCAGCTCAATCAGGAAAAAACTGAAGGTTTCATGTTGCTTCCTAGTCTGTCTCCAAACTTGTTCGATGGACCATTGATTTGTGCTGAGGAAGTCAGTAACACTGAGAGGGAGCTCACTGACATGTCAGAGGAAGAAGTAGATCTCATTTACAGGATGCATAGGCTTGTTGGTGACAGGTAAAGATCCCAACTACAGTCTCATATATTTGTCAGCAACTATGAGCTGCATTAAGCATGCAGGCAAGGCATGTTCAGATTCAACATCTTCTGATTCTTCTTCGAGCTCTGATAAATGAGACATGTCCTTCTGCAGATGGGAGCTGATAGCTGGTAGAATTCCCGGCCGCACTCCGGAGGAGATCAAACGGTTTTGGAAGATGAAGAACGATCCATGTTTTGCTGAGAAGGGGCTGAAGAGAAAGAGAGCTGTACAAGGAACTGTTGCTCAAGTGCAGAACCACAAGTGATTACTGTGAGCTCCAAATTCAAATCATGACAAGAAAAAGCCAGCAAGATTTGAGGCAACGATGATTAATTAAAGACAGATCCTGCCATTTTGTTTCAAGTTCTGTCACACCAGTGAGGTTACTACTGCTGACAATGTGAAGAACTGAGAAGACTACAAGTAGAAGAACTTTAGAGATTCATCACAATTGTTGAAGATGCAATTATTGATAGCTTTCTTGATTCTGATAATGGGCATACAAAATGGTAGGTATTGACCAAAATCTTATAGTCTTCTAATGAAATCTGTGTTGAAATACAATACTCATCCGTTCTTCATCAATTTAAGGAGCTTTTTCATCTCAAAAATAAGCTCATTAAAAATGGATGCTTTCGATATAATGGTCATATAGATAATCAATAGTCTCTTTTACTCGCAAATATAAATATAAGATAAAGATACAAAACTAAGTGATTCATACATTTCTTTAGTCGATAATATTAGTCCTCATGAAGCTTAATTTCTTGATGTCTCTAATAAACCTCTGATTAACAAATCCATCCATTGTATTTCGACAGATTTATTATATCACAATAGAGTTAGTTAATTTCCAAGGCTATTATTTATTTATTGTTAATAGTATGATTTAATGATATCAATTCATCTTCAAAATAATATTTTTCTGGGCAAATAGCTTCATGAATAAACTTTTTTATCTAATTTTGGAGATATTCCAAGTTCCACAAATTAGCCATGTCAAAAGCATTTCAAGTTGAAATCTGATCTGTTACCAAGTCAGGGATAAATTAGCAAGATTTTATGACTGAAAATGATCAAGAAAGACTAAGAAAAACAGGTAGGTGGTTTGATCTTTGTGTGTCAAGTTTCATATAAAGATCAAAAAACCAAGAAATATAAGAGGATAAGTAACACAAACATAACCTGAAATCTGATGCTCTTCCACTCAGGTCAGGGAAAACAGTAGAACATATGGTGGTGTGATACCAAATCAGAGCAGTTGTGAAGATAAGAAGCTGAAGGAAGAGCAAAAAGCACAATAATCTAAGAGGGATAAGTAGCACAGACAGCATGACCTGAAACTTGATGCTCAGTGTGGTGATATATGATGGAGTAGAACAAGTGAAAGAGGAGGTGAGCTAACAAAGCATCACAACTGTTGCGAGGAACAACTGTATGCCGTGGCCTTAGGGCCGACGCGGCTTGGTTCGGGTCCGAATGTGCGGGGATCTGGCGCGGTGCTCCTTGGGACAGCTGGGGTGGCCGGTCAAAGCTGCCCGGATGGGACGTAGCGTCGGGGATGAAGCCTTGGCGCGACGTCAGGAAGGTGCGACCTCGCCCTTGTTCCTGCACACAGGTCGGGTCGGGAGCTTGACCCGACCCCTCCGACGATCAAGTTAGGAGATGCGGTAGAGTGCTATTTTTTTCTCCCCCCCTCCCTATTTAGAGTGCAAGGGTATTTATAGGGAAGCTTATCGTTACCTGATGTACCCGCCTGTGTGAGGCGGGATCGTACCTCTGATGGCGTCTGACATTGTTATTGACGTTGCGTAGAGAACCGGATCGTCGCAGGGTATGGGCGAGGGTCGGTAGTCGTCCTGCCCTGCCATGGTCAAGCGTGCAGGGTTGGAAGTCGTTGCCTGATAGTGGGTGACGTCAGCGCGAGTCGAGTCAGCGTTATTGCCTTCCTCATCGGGTAGAGTGGCGCCCAGGTGGAGCTGTTGTCGTGACACATCAACAACAGCAGAGTTTCTGACCATGAAATGACTGTAAAAGAAGGATTGAGCAAGTGAAAGGTGGTGGGTTGAATGGTTGATGTTAGTGTGTGAAGTCTTCATGCTAAATGAAGAAGAGCTAAAGACAGCATCCAAAGTGGTTTAAGGAACACATTTTGGCAGCATAAACATTTTGGTAGCTTTCATTCCCCTGTTGTGATGCTAATGAAGAACACACTGTTCTCCACATACCATTTGCAGCATAACAATGTTGGTAGCACAACTATCGCGATCGATTCATCAATAGTTTGATTTTAAAGAATATTAGTTTGAGAAATACTATTCTTTAATTCGATTAACCAATTCGAATCGAATCGAGCCGATTTTAATTTAAAAAATATTAATCTAATCATATTTAGTCATTAATCGATTCAAATTAATTAATGATGATTAAATTGATGTTAGCCCAAAAAAAAAACCTTCAACTAACTGTTAGAGTTTAATATAAATTGAGCTCATTGCTAATTCGATCCAAATCTTTTATGATGATCTCATTAATTATTAAGTTAATAATAATAATTCTTTTACGTATTAATTAGTGAGCACTTCCCAAATTAATTCTGGATCGTAGGATGGCATCCGAGCCAGCGAACACACACCGTCCATTTCGAAAGCCGACGACGACGTTAACGATGACGTTTGCGACGCGCCCGCCTCGGCGTCCTTCACGGCCTTCGCAGCCGCCTTGGCTGACCTCGCCTTATCGCCGGCCGCCTTCGCCGATCGCTTCGCCGCCCGGCGCCGCCCGAGGCGCTGGCAGATGGCCTGGATTTTCGAGTCGACGGCGGACCGCAGTGACCTGAGCCGCTCGGGGCAGTCCCCGGCGTCCCGCAGGGCCGGGAAGTTGAGGCGCGCGTACTCGCCGCGGAGCTTGTACGCCGCCCGGTCGTACGCGTACGCCGCCGACTCCGGGGAGGCGTAGGTGCCGAGCCAGATCCGCATCCGGTTCTGGGGCAGCCGGATCTCCGCCACCCACTTCCCCCACTGCCGCTGCCGCACCCCCCGGTAGAGCTTCTTCTTCCCGTTCTCCGCCGCGGCCGAGTTGTGGTACGGCGACGAGGCAGCCCTGCCGTAACGCCGGGTGCTGAGCCGCCGCAGCAGCTCCGTCTGGCGGAGGTAGACGGCGGAGCCAAGGGAAGCGGCGACCGGGTACCGGGCAGCAGGGGA